TAAAATATATGCCTACCTATTACGGGTGCCAACATTAGCACAGTGTTGAAGCCCGGGGTATAACAGAATAGCACCGCCAGTCCCGTCTCAAAGAATATACTGAAGTTGAGCACCCAGTTACTGTATATGGACAGGGATGTAATGCTACTTTTCATATTTTCAAATATAATGACTGTATGAATACCCCATTTGTTGCGTGAATATGGAAACCCTGCGAGTCTTGGAGACAATGACGTCCATCCACTGACACACGACTATACAACAGAAGTACGAGCTCTGGGCTATGCGTTGCACGAGTTGCCTGTCCTCGTAGGTCTGTCGCATGGATTAAGCAATTTTAATCAATAAATAATCACACAAATTTTTAGGTTTGATAATTGATATTTCTTTGAAAAAATATGAAACTGTCAAATATTACTATTTCTAAAATAAGCATATCTATACTGTACTTCTACCTAAAATATAATGTGGTTCAATTAAGTTATTAGAATGCAAGTAACTACAGTAATCTCCTAATCCCTATATAATTGTTGTTATATTATTTCAAAAAGTAACATCGTACTTTTTGAAAACAACCACAAAAATTCTAAACTACAGTTCCCCTTCCAGATACGTACCCATGGATTACCAAACGAGTCTTGGAGGTCATTAATGTTGACGTCGTCCCAACTGACCCTCAATTGAAACAAATCCCATGGTTTCCATCCATGATGCATAAACGCCACGAAATAGCCCAAAAAGCCGGCGCTCGACATAATGACCCCCACCTGAAAGTAGGACCTCAACAGCAAACTCCTGGTGACCAACACGTCGGTCCTGGGGTTACGGGGCTGTAGTTTCATGATATCGGACTCGGCCTTCTCGTAGGCCAGCGATATGGCGGGCATCATGTCGGTGCCCAACGCGATCAACAGGACAGTGATGGTGCCGATGGCGATGGGAAAGCCGAATATGACGTAAATCATGAACGGGTATAATGTGGTGACACTGCCGGCCAGTATATAGCCTATGGTTTTCTTCATGTTGTCGAAGATGCGTCGGCCCTCCTCTACGGCCGTCACGATTGTCGCGAAGTTGTCGTCCAATAGTATCATATCTGCCGCCTGTTTGGACACATCCGAGCCTATGGTGTGGAGAGGAACGGGATGAGAGAATTTTCGATGAAATGTATGGAAAGTTAGAAAAAATCGTATTGTTTATTATAACGAGTATAGCTTATGTAGTAAATAAATAAAACTATTTTAGAAGTAAGTAGCAAAATATCAATTAATGATTTTTAATTAAAAATAAATTATGAACTTAGTAACTGGCACTTCCCGATTAATAAATAAATTTTGTTTTTGAAAAATCCCCAAATTTGTATTGCATTTAATTGCAGTTTTTAATTATTTTATCACTTAAAGTGGGGAATGGAGTGAGATATTTGAATTAGAGGTATATAAAGTTGTATATGAGTTATAAATAATACAAGTTAAATTAATAATTACTGAATAACTTTGTGAAAAGAAATTTGTTGTTGTGATTACAAAAATAACATGGTCTCTTAAACAAAAATAATACCGTAATACTAAAATAACTCATAAAAATTAAAATGTATATTAACTTTTAAAATAAGGTTTGTATGTATTTAATACCCACACAATGAATTAATTTTATATTCAAACAACTAACGAATTAATATTATAATTA